GGGACAGACCCCACCCGGCTGCTGCCGCATCAGCCGCATCCCACCGCAGGGAATGAGGGGTCAGGTACGGTAACGGGAAACTGAGAAGGCCAACGGTCCCTTCATTGTCCTACCTTCCGTACAACTGCAGGTCTTGACTGCTCTCCTTCAAAGGATTTCATTTCAGTTGCCAGTGGTTTAATTTCAGGTGTCCTTCCCTGATTTCACATCTTTCTCATGAGAAAGCTGATGTCCACAATGCATAATACCACATTTAACTGATGAAGAAAAACTTTCTAAGGATTACAGCCTGGAGAGAAATTCAAAAGTAATTCACATATCCAAGAAAACTCCCTCCCACTATCAATCACTTTAAAAGAACAAAAATCAGTAAATCAACAAAGAGAATGAGAACAGAGCGTCCTGTGCACAGGATATCCCACTAAGCAAATAATTTACCTTTCTATGTCTCTGTCTCACATTAATAAAGATACCTACAACCCCATTTATCATTTTTATTTGTTCCGAGTGAGGTTCTGAACAAAGACTAACTACAGAAATTTTCAAATAATCTGAAAGAACAAAAACAAAAGTAAAGAAATCACTTGTTTATGAAGGAATTTTGGTTTTGTGACATTACATTTTTGAATCTCTATTTAACTAAATTCAAAGACCAATACCTGCTCTTTGGACTTCAAAGGCAGACCAAATCTAGCCAGCTAGTAAGTGTCTTGTCCTCCACACCCCCTTATCTTTGTACATTCTTCTCCATCCCTCTGAAACAAGGTGAGATGCAAAGGGAAGAATACATATTTATGTATATATACTTATCCTCTAGTAGACAAGGTTTTTTCCTTTTGGATTTATCACTACCTTGGGTACTCTCCTTATGTTCAGCTCTCACCAGCTGATGAACTTTTGAAAATTAAATACACAGAACATGAGGGCTTGAGTTGTGTTGCTACTACATTTGTGTCCTTAAAAGCTAATCCAGAAAAACAAGGTACCACGTTGCTATTTCCTATGACACTAAAAAATGCATAATTTTCATCACCAAATAAAAAACTTGACTGAATTTGAGGAACAAATTGCTCCTCTAAGTTGGAATATATAGACCACTGAGGCAGATTACAAAAATATATCCCAAACCAGACATATATATGAAATTCTATTTAAACATTCAGAACCTTTATTCTATATTCATAAAGGAGAAACTTTTAAAATAGGCTATTGTAACACAGTCAATACCAGAGATTTCATTTTAGGGAAACGTCCAATTCTCAATCCCCTTTTCACATGATTAAAGCAAAGGCACAGTAAAAGCAATCAACGAAATGTCCCCCCTCCAGGCTTGTCTGCTACTATAGTTCTTCCTGCAGGACTGTGTGATTCACGCCCTAGATCCTTTGCATCTAGGAAGGGATGCATCATGCCAGTTGATTATCTTCCTGAGAGGAAGGTCTGAGGGGTGATTTTTGTCTCAGAACATCAACTAGCACTACTAAAAAAGGTAAAAGAACTTTTTTTTTTTTTTTACACATTTTGGAAAAGATAAAAAGATAACTCACCAACAGTGACAGACAGTTTAGACCTGTGTTTTCACATCCTGCAGACAGGATAAATACCTATCTCATATTCAGTCAAAAACTGTCCATTTCATTTTAATTATATAATATATTCAGCTAACCTAATTTCTTTTGTTTGTAAAGCTTTAGTTTCGTTTAAACTTTATTTAGAACTATATTTTTAAAAACAATTTTTTAAGCATCTCAAAACCTGTATAATTTTTGTAGAAATGAAAACATGATTGTTTCCAACAACAGACCATATTGAAAACAAGAGAACAAGTTATTCATAATTTAAGGGTTAAGAGTTTAGTTGCATACAACTTGCCCAGCAATCCCAGACAACTAAATTACCACAAGTATAGAACACCTAAGACCACCAGATAATATGGAAGATGTATGTAAATACACATTGAAGAAGAAACTGTATTTAAGTTTGAATTTTACCTGTTTGAGTATTAATTATCTGCATGTGAAAATTATACCAGTTAGGTGTTTGCATAACAGTATGAAAAAAATAAATCTTTGCTGCTCACCTTACTCCTTCATACATATTTTCTAATGTTTTCAGAGAGTGAAGTCTCCTTTACTGCAGGCTGGGATGGGGAAGACATTCCAATTTTGCATTACTAACACTGACACTGCTCTGATAAATTTAGTTCTCTTCCATGGGTTACACTGCTGTCTAACTGAGAATACAAACTCTACCTGCAACAAAAACAACATTGAAATTGATTTCTAATTCAGCTGTGGTTTTTCACTCTGAGGTGAGAGAACGAAACTTGAACACATTACTGAAACCAAGTCCTAGCCCATAACCAGCCATCCCAAGCACTGTACTATTACAAATAAATGCTTTCATCTCTGACAATGACTTTTACAATAAGCCTGTTTGTTTTCTCAATTACTTGCTCTCTAGATGAGTCACCATACTATGAAGATAACATCTTTTCCTCTACACAGTGCACCACGTTTCAGTTCTGTAGCATGTGAGTGTTAACTTCAAAGCACAGTGTAACATTGCCCACACCTAACTAATACTCGTACAATGCTTTGAAGATGTAAAAGTCTATGATTACTGACTAGTAAGTTTTGAACTAATACCAAAATTGGACTAATAACTACTGAAATCAGTGTGGAAATCATTCAAAGTTACACCATGCAATACAACTTCAACATTAGTTACCCTGGGTGGGGGCTGAGGGAAAAAAATCAATTACTTCCTTTGAAACAAGAAAAAAAAGAAATCTCTGAAGTACTACAAAAATTAACCACATGAACATTCAGCCTGAAGTGTAATCTTTACATCGTTTAATATGCCTCTTATAAATCTTCATCCTAGATATGTAAAGCAGACTATTGTCCATCCTTACCTGAAACATTGGTTCGAACTGGGGGATAGAAGTCTTCATCTATTCCAGTAGTTGATGTAGCAATAAATCATGGCCATGATGAGTTAAAATCAAATGTCCCTTTTTCCAACATATGCAGGAGCATCACCTGCTACAGATTTCTACCCTAGATTATTGAAGTTTATGCTAGGCTCATCCACACAGCAAAACCCATGCTTATTCGATCTATCAACAACTGATGTGTGGAATTTGGTGCATCCAATTTGATCCACTGTCTAATCATTTTGCCGCAATCACTCCTCAAGTAGTGGCTTCAGTTACATTATAGCACATTATAGTTACATTATAGTGCCACAGAACAGCATTCAGTAAATCTGTTTCTTTCCAGGAGTGCACAGCTCTAGCATACTTGTTGCCCCACATACCCAAGAACTGGGATAAGTACTTCCAATGACATTATTAAATTCTCAGTTTCCCATTTCTGTAGCTATGTTTGCATGGTATCAAAAAGAAAAGCACTCATTTCAATCAGGGAAAAAAAAATATTTGAACTAAGCACAAATACATTTTGCAAAGGAACCTATCGCTCCTGATTGCCAGCAAACCTTAACTGGCCTACACTCCTTTTCATCACCAAGTCACACCCACACAGCACACTTTAGTCACAGCTGGCACATGCATTGACTGAACTTTTACCAGGTCCAAGGGCTCAAAGAGCCAGATTGTCTAGTACTGACTGTAAGCACAATCCAGCTTAACACTGGCCTGCATCCCACTGATGTGCTCTTGCTGTGTAAGCTGTGAAGTAAACCTTTTCCATCTTAGACAGGTTAACAGCATAACACCCAAAGTAAATCTAGCCACAGCATATTTTACCTTTCACATTACACTTCTCCTCCTCCTTCCACATTGTTTTGTGCATGGTTTATACAAAATCACAATCCAATAAGAGGAGACTAAAATGAGGTACACATTTCAGAGTAAGGGTTTTGCTGTTCCACAACAATCATTAAGCAACGTGACTTGGCATTGTTTCAAATGAAAACAATCTTTCCATACAAAAAGATCAGCCAGACATTATTACACAAGTCCTCCTTAATGGAGGTACTTTTAAAAAATCTGAAGAGCATCTTTTATATTTGTGGCTTTCTGGGACTATTTCCATTCTTACAGAAATGCCAGTGTTTCAAAACCAAACTCAACTAGCCACATGTAAATACTGAAATTCAAATACCATCTTAAGCATTTGCTGTTTAGAATCCGTAAGACACTCCTTTGAAAGCACCTCAGTGTAGTAAATACAACTATATTCATTATCCACAATGTCATACAGACATACACTTTATTAAAGAAACAGAAAAGAAAGACTACGTAAGAAAGTCACTTAGTGAAAGCACTCTGAAACAGACTGTCAGAATAATTATGGAAAATCCACAGATAATCTCATCAACTCAGTATTTAAGAAACAGACACATCCTTATACATGTTTCTTCTGAGACAAAGTAACAATACAGTTCACTAACCAAACTTTACGTTCCATGTACTTGGTGTACCAAAAACATCAGGGGTACCACAAATTCAGAAATCTGTCCTCACTGAACATGTAGTGCATAGAAGCACAACAGCAAAGCAATACAAAATTCTTCATTTGTTGAAAGATGAGTGAAGATTCTTCCCCTGTAAGTGCCAGAGTTTATTTTTCATACTTGATGCGGAATGGCTGAATAAGTAATCTCTAAACATGACTATCTATATTAAATTCTTATTTCCTCAGCCTCTGCCTGTGGCCTTTCACTTTGTGAAAGTATTTCAGCAGCTCATACACAATCTACAGGGTTTTTGTTCAACTTCTCAGGTGAAGAATGTCAGATTATAAAAATGCATATATACAAAATGCAATTCCCAAAAGGAAAGAGAGCAGGTCAAGCCCGGAAATATTGTCTGCAAGCATTAACAACCCCAGTGAACAGGAATGCTATCCAACAGCACTCAGGTTGTAAAGACTTAAGTTCACAAAGAGTGTTCAGTGGGCCAAAAGAACAACAGGGTTTAAGTCGTCTTAACTTTTTTGGTTTTAAATGCAATGAAGAAGACAGACTATTCATTAAATATAAAAGCAATTTTATAAAAACACATCAGAATTTTATTGCTTGAAGAATACAGCATATGAAAAAGCACAAGAATGTCCAAAAAGAAAGGTCACAAGAATCCAAACATATTACACCATACATACCAGATGCAGTAAAATGTTAACCTGATTTCTGCATCAGAAAAGAAAGGTGTGAAAATATACCTAGTATTATTTAGAAGGAAAAGACTCATTTAAAATAGAAAGTGTGAAGGTGTTACAGTACAAATTAGAAAAGCCAACACTGCACATTAACATTGTATCACTAGACTAGATTTTCTACCTTTGGTACTTAAACCTTTACAGAAAACCACTTCCTCGGTCAAACCTTGCCTAACATCTGTCATATAGTATCCACAAAAGTTTTTTTGTTTTGTTTTTCTTTCTTAAACTTAAACATTCAAACAAATACTTTTCTGAGTTTTCACTGCACTAATGCATTTATCCAATATGCAACTTAAGACATCCCAAATTTAAATCAAAAGTCACTATGTGACTGAGATCTGAATATATGCCAATTATATCCTGTCCAGATCTTCATGTAAAAATGGGCTCACCATTTTCTGTTTGCATCCTTATGTAAACAGACTGCTGCAGCCCTCCTCAAGAACTCTAACTGGACCAGCTTGCTGAGGACATAAGTTAATAGAACAATCCACATTATTAGATGGAGATCATCTACAGCAGCATGCAAGTGGCTTTTCTAGTCTGCTCAGATTAGTGTACCAGAAGATATGCCAGTATTACTTCAAGTAACACATTAAAACTCAGCAATGGACACTACTGTGCTTTATTTCAACACAAAGGACAGCTGCTCATCCATTAAATCAACAGAACTATCGAAAGGACAAGTACATAATTTCTGTTTCATGTATTGCTGATCACTCTTGGGGAATAGTTTATCAAAAACCTAAATTTACCTATAAACCAGCCTGAATAAATTGCTGTCTTTCAACAAGGTATTTTAGTAATCCAGTGGCAACCTAGTCTGGAGAATGTTAGCATTATGCTGACAAGGACTAATCAAAGTTAAATAAATTCCCTCTTTTATGATAAGCATGCTCTTAAGGTCAGCTTTTGCCTTCTTAGGCTTGAATACTTAATCACTCCCAGCCACATCAGCGGAACAAACAGTTTTCTTTCATTAAGTTCCGGCTTCATATTTCAACAATATGAATAAATCTGGACTACGAAATACCATCAACAACAGTTAACATTAAACTGGAGTGAAATAATAGAAACGTTAGTTCTTCAAACCAGGCAGTCTCTTTGAAGAGAAATAATCAGTTAGGACTGTCAAAGGATGTCATGATAAAACCACGGGTTTATTTTTTTCACCCCTATACAAAAAAATGATTGAATTTGTACAACTCCTATTAAACATACCTTTTCCTAGCTTGGTGAAAATGTATCATTTTCAAATTTTAACCAGTGTGGTATTCGAGCATATATAATGTTTATTGCCATTTTAAAAAGAACTAAGAATTCAGGTTCTTCTATGCTGAACTCCACTTTTACCCATTAACAGATTATGTCTACTGTACCACTCCCCCAAAAACAATTAAAAATTCTAAGTAAGATTTTATAGTTTAGTTAAAAGGGAAGAAATGCAAATGTGGATTTAGAGCTTTTTGTATAAATCTCACTATATTTTATAAACTTGTTGTTTATTGTAACACTGTTTATTGATCAAATAAATGACGCACCGCTATCTAAAATTTCCATATACACCATTAAAAATCCAAAGTTGATATGATACTGAACCTTAATTCTTCAAGAGTTCGAAAAAAGACAGTTTATACATGTACAGCACACAACAGCAGACACCCCTAGAATACCAACTGCCAGTCCACGATGCATACAAACTTACAGGTAAGCATTCATTTCACTGTTTTCGTTGTGCAGGAAAAGTATTTCTTAGTAAGACAACTCAGCTGGTGATTTTCAGATATCATCTTCATCATCTTCATCCTGAGAGGATCCTGCCTGATTGGATGCACTGGCTGAGGCAGCAGCGAGCTGTGCCTGTTGAGCTGCTTGCTGCATCTGTAGCCATTCCTGCTGCGCCAGTTCTGCTTGCTGTTGTCTAGCCTAGAGACACGAATTTAATAGTTAAGGCCATACAGAGCTTGTGAAGAACCTTCAGAACACATTAGCTTTAAAAGCATTTTTATCTGTACCTGCAGATTCCTTTTGTATAGCTTTTTATTAATTGTACATGCAAAACCTAGAAGTACCCTAATTATTTGTACCAAGATGCTTGGCTATATTCTGTCTTCCTCTGAAGACACCACTGTTTGGAGGCCTAACAGTTACAAAAAAACCAGACAGAAGATAGTGTACTTAAGTTCAACTGTAGGAATTCTGCTGAACCACTTCCTAATGAAAATTTAAGTGAGTCAAAGCAATGGAAACTTTAGACTTCAATTTCAAGGGAACTTAACATTTAATCACAGTTCAGAGATGAGAACAGCCTTACTTTGTTGATTACAAACACTGAAGCTTCCAATTATAAAATCACCCAATTGTACCACAGAGGCACACATTATTACAAAAACATAAAGAAAGCCATTATCTTGCTTTGCTAAGCAATCTTTGGAAAACAGAACTAGGTAAGCTCTTCTCAAATTCAGGTATGCAGACTGAGGACAGCTGTGCTACAGAAATGTATAGTCCTTTTCAGTAAAGTAAAATACAAGACATTCTAACAAAACACTTCAAATAGTTCAACTGATAAACCCTTGTTTTTCAATCCAGGCTTTTCATTTGTTTTTCAGCAACTCCTGTTGATTTCAACAGTATATTTATCAATTATGTTCACGTTAAAACTTTAATTTCTGTTTTGAGTGAACATTATGAAAAAGTTCTTAAAATTAAAAATTTTCAGTCTTCTTTACGTTTCTACTTTTACAAGTCATCACTAAGACTGTAAAAAATTCCTTTCTAATCCTATTGCACTCATTGAAAAATTCTATTATTTTCCAAAGCATCAACATTTTTTTACAGTTTTGCAAACTTTAGGATGCCAAAAAGACGATGCTTTGGAAAACAACCAAACCCAGTTTATCTACTTAGCAATGTTAAGAAAAGGGGTCTTCCCTTGTTATAATTGTCACAGTTCCTTAGCCTGTTCTAGCAGTAAAAGAAAATACTTCTGTAGAAGTAGAAACTTTTTCTCAATGAAGACTTTTTAGTATTTCAAACTTCAAGTGGTTGCACAACTAAAAGGGCTGGAAAACAATTTAAGACATCATAGAGTTTTAAAGGAAGACAGCAACATCTGTGCATACGGGAGAGGCATAAACATTTATCACACATGAGATAACAGGGCTCCCTACTGACCCTGCTACAGTGAAGTTAACTGCACACTCCACGAGGTGACACACAGCAATGCACCAGGAAACGGGGGCTCAGCACCTCACACCAGCTGGATCCTGCTGTCAGTGCCCACCCTCACTTCGGATTTATAATGGTAACACTTGGCCATTTAAAAAATGGAACAAAAAAACCCCCAAACAACAACAACAAAAATTCCATTGAGTTGTATTGACCAAGAAGCTTTATAAGCACCTGGTGAACTTAAGTCATTTACCACACAACCTCAGCGAGGAAGCCTCAAAAAAACCCCAAATCCATTAAGAGCTTTGTCTTGCACGAAAACTTATAGACATGCATGAATATCAGGATAAGCCATTCCCCTGACTTCAAATATTTACAACCAGGCAAGACACAGGTGTCAAACATTCCAAACATTAACAGGCAGGTATTTTAAAACTAGAGCAATAAGTTCAGCATTAGTGTCATGCTCTAGAATATTAACAAGATTAACACAAATAAAAAAACATGCACTCATGTAACTATTTTTAAAAACAATTACAGTGCCTCCAACAGCATATCACAGCATATCTATTTTTGAAAAATAAGACTCCCATCTTTGAATCTAAGAAAACATTTTCCATATTACCAAAGACTATTTTTAAAAATCATTCATACCATCCTGTCAAACTGGCATGCATTGTCTTAATTTAGATGTTAAGGCACAGTAACACAGAATTTTAAAAGAATACACTTCGAGTTGTCATTCCTTAGACCAAGTGGGGCTTGCATAAGGTGGCCACGAATCCAGCATTTTTAATTATTTTTTTTTTTTAATGATACTCAGGAGCTAGTACTCCCTTAACACACCTTGGGTTTGCTGCTTTTTTTATTTTGTACACCAACCATGCTGAATTATTTGAACAAAATAGTAAGTAAAAAAAAGGTTTCAAAGTGACTATTATTTTGTAAATCTTACCCAAAATTCAGAAGCAGCCATATTGGTCTTTCCAATGTTAGTACAGTCAAAAAAGAGTTAAGCACACGTGACTTGATCATAACTAGTTCACTGCATGCTGGCAATAGCTACGTGCTATGCTGTAACTTTAAATGTCTTAAAATTCATCATGTAATTAAGATTAAAGTAGCTGGCATGTTGCAATAGGAAAAACAACAGTTTCAGCAAGATACAAGTACAGCAAAGGGGAGAGGTCACAGTAATCAGACATTAACTGAATAAGCATTTTCATCAGAGAAAATTAAAGTAAGAAAATTGAGAAAATTAGACTCATGCCTTGGTTAAGAGGAAAGAGAAATTCCACATAACTTTACCATCTCTTAGTTTAGAGAATGGTCCTGTCAAACTAAGAGAATAGTAGAGAGAAAGATGGTGTAGGAAGATACCTAAATGAAATTGGTGTTTAGTCATTTAAAATAAGAGATGTTCACAAACTATCTGGGAAAGCTGGAAGGGAATAATTCTGGGATGAAGGAGAATGTGTGTGTGTACTATTTCTAAGCAAATGCTTTTTCCATGCCTCAATTGCCTCTTTAAAAATTTATGCATGAATTCACCCAATTAGAGTCTTGCCAAGAGTAAAGTTTCTTTCAAAGGATAAGAAGTAACATTTGTGCACTGATGGTCAGAAACAGAAAAGCTATTTTCACTTTTTAATGCTTCAAAACTGGTAATTTCCTAGAACATCAGCTGTCATTCTTTTATTTCCTCAGGCAAGGAATTCTTAATGTATTCTCTACAGTAGAATGGAAATTCCTAAGTAGCAGCAAAACCCTATGCTTTTTAAATCTAGAGTATAAAATCTGTTCTTATACAAAGTCCTATATGTCAAATCATAGAAGTAACAAGTAGCAGCATCTTATTTTTTGACTTCACATTCCCCAAATCCAACAGGTCAAGGCCAATAGCATCTCGGATGCCACAGCAATTCACAAGGGGACACTCGTTGAGGTGTGCAAATGCTTTTGCAGCCCTAGACCTGTAGCATTAATTATTCCAACCACATCAGTACAAGTATTGCTTTACTTACTTGTGCAAATAATTCCTGTTGCTGCCTTAGTAGCTCTTCTTCCGGAATGCCGAGGTTCTCCAAGCGTGAACTGGCCTTTCTTCTCTTTAGTGCTACTGTTTTGCATTCTTGTAAGACTTCTTTTACTTCACTGATATAGGAGCCAAATCCCAAACTTTCTAGTGCTGGAAAGAAAGAAAGAAAACACATTGTTTATTTTTTACAAAGCTTTTGATAATACATATCCACTTGTTAATTTAAAAGACAAAAAAAAATTAAAACATCTGATTACTTTTCTATCACCTGGTGACAAAAATATGTTCATAAAAAAGATCTGACAGCTATTTTCCTTGTCTCTTCTCCTATGCCATTCAAGAGTACAGGTTTTCAGGCTAAAAAGTACAACCAAAGAAGTCTGCACTTGCAGAGGATTCAGGGCTTTTGGATACGCTTTCCCAGAGACAGGCATTATTCTTCAAGACATCTTTTTCCCATCTTCTGTATATCAGAATCAACAGGACTTATACAGCTAAGAAGTCCTTTCTGTCTGAATTGTTAACCTTTAATGTCTCAGGGATTGTATCTTTCCAGTTTCATTGCAAATCTTTAGTAGAAGGTAAATTAGTAACCTATAACAGAGCAAAAGTGATGCATGTAAAATGATCACAGATCCTTTATTAAAGCACAAATAATTCATATTATCATAGATTGCTGAATTTTAGCTTTGTTTTTTAGTATCTAAATTCCTATATATAAAGTGCATAGTACACATATATAAAGTTATATAAAATTAAGCTCTTCATTGTTTTATTTCTCAGCAGAAACCCTTTTATCTTCACATTAAAATGTATTCAGAAACTGAAATCTTGCACTTTTGTCTGCCCAAAGAAATCTGGAATGCGGCTATATTCTGCAACGACATTTTCTTTAAAGAATGCAAAGGTAATAGGAAGGATTATAAAAACCCAGGTAGAATACGTGACAAAAGGCAGTTTCCTGATGCACCATTTACTGCGACATGCCTCCACACACACCCAAAGTGAAACTGTTACAGAATATCCTAGAGACATTACAAAAACACCAATTACACTAGAAACAAGTATCAGTTGAATAAAAAAAGTAGTTCATTTCCACTATTTACACAATGCAGAGTTTACAGTACAATAGTTGTTTTGACCTTATGTGACAACCTATCCAAGAAACAGCACTAAAGTAGACTGCACAACAGCAATCAACAGAGATTGTTATAAACAAGCTCTTAGTTACACCAACTCAGACTATATTCTAACACTAATTTTGTAAGCAATATTTTCCTACCATAATTATGTCAGCATGTCATTGTATCATAATCTAAACAATAACCCAAAGGTGTTCTCTAAGTTTTCAACTTCCAACCTGAACTCAAGGAGAGAATTCCCACACTGTCTTCAACAGGGCTGTCTGTGCAGCTGTCTAGTCATGCAACCCTACCATCCCTTCAACAGATAACATTTGGCAAATGAATTTACATAATACTTATTTCTTCAAAAAAAAAGGTTAAAAGACAAACTGATTAGAGATTGTCAGATTGCTTCAGAGATATTATGCCAGTTCAGCCTCAGCCCACACACAGACACTGGAAACACTTTTTCCAATTAACCCACAGTTTCTAGGAGAACTTGTTCAATCCAGCCTGAGCATATAGGAGGCAAATCCATGGTCCAGAACTGGTTATCTAAACAAACTACAAATATTTAAGAACTCATTGAATTTTAAAATGTAAACAGTACATACAGGAAACTATCTAAAGTCATATCTTTTTTATAATCAAAATATAAAATTTTAAGAAATCTGCAAATCTAACATCACTAAGACAAACCATCATGGCAAAACCAGAGGTACTTGTTGAAAGAACATTCAGAGGGATCAGGGTTGGCAATCTGCTGCATCAGAATATGAACAACTGCCCAGTCTGAAGTTAACGGCAAGATGTGTTTTTACAAAAATTTTAAATGGCCCTTAAAAGAAAGTAAATTAATGGAAAGAACTTACAGTTGTGTATTGAATGTAGCACACACACACATACAAAAGCAAATAACCCCCCCCATGTGATATAACCAGGACAAATTTGTACAACTGCTCAGTACAACAAAGCTATGAAGAACCATACACACATTACAGGTCTACTGCACCAAAATTCTGCTGGCTGTGGAAGGACTTACCAAATTTACTGTCTTCTTGAAGCACACCAAGGCTTTACGGAACACATGCACAGAAGGATATGGATCCCTTTATATCAGCATGGTGCTAAAATGTGGGACAAGTGAATACTATCTTATCAGAGCTGCTGTTCCATCCAAACTCAGTGTCTTTCTATCTCCTGAGTCTGAAACCTACCAGTCTGCCCAGATTGCTAAAAATTCAGTATCTTACTGAGGTCAGGATGATCACACTAAATGTAAACAGCTGAATGCTAAAACACAGCAAACAACTCATGTTTACAAACACCAAATCACAACTGTCCTTTCCCCAGTTTCCTCTCACTCTTAAAGACTGCATGAAGGTGCAGATCTGATTATTCAGCACTGCCCAGCTAGTACTACTTTTTTTAATACACTCAGGTCATTCATATCTGAGATTTAACCGATCTGCTCCTTTCAAAGAAAAAATAACTTCCAAATTAAAATCCAAAACGTGAACAGGTCTGTGGAATTTCTTTAAAATTAAATGCTAGCATTAACACTGTCAGTACCCTAAAAGCCTATGAAAAGAAGCTGCAGGATTTGCCATCAATCCACAGCCTACCTTACTGCACAACAGTTCTGTGCAGACCAAGTAATCAAATTAAACAACTTCATAAAAACAGTCATTTAACAAGTCACCATTTTCAGAATTCAATGGAAGTTTAATTTTTCATAAAAAGGCTGTTTTGTCACAACTTCTGTAACTGTTAAATTAGTCTTCTTCTGTTCCAGGATGGATGAACATTCATTTGCTTACTAAAGTTGCAGACTCACAGCTGGGTTCCTGATGGTGGGATTCAACAATAAACATGGAGACTATTTCCACTTACAACTATGACATAGCCTTTGGATACTCTCCAAGGAAACTGTTTTGTGTTTATTCCTAGTAGTGAGTGCTTGGCATGGTCTGAGTACATCTATCAAATGAGATCTCTCATGGGATGCAAGAAGCCTCTGCTTTCCTTTCCCTGTGCCATTGACAGCACTGTGCCAGTCAAGTGTTTGTGCTACCACACAATAAAACGCAGCAGGGACTCCATCTATCTGAAACACAGCCCAAGGGTAGGGGGAAAGATTTCTTGCTCAGCACATGGCCATGCAATCATTTTAATAGTGCAGCAAAGGAAAGGGTGTCCTAAGCAGCACGGCTGCAAACACCTGAGTACAGTTAGTACACACTAGTACACATTCGAACAGTTCCACATTGCCTCTCACACAGTCCAAAGGCAGAGTGTCACCAACTGCAGAGTGCCTGTTTCCCTTTCCTCCTTCCCAATTAAATAACCTTCCCACTTCTTGTTTTCAATCTAGTATCCTTTTGTTTACAGGCTCAGTCAGACCAGCAAACTCACCTGAAAGGAAACCATGCTCCTCCCTAAATTCTCAAAAGCCACAGGGTCAGTCTGGAATTGCCAGGTCCAGCTCTAGGGAGGGTACAAAGATTCCTCTGGGCAGCTCCTGGTGCTTAGACTGGACCAGGTGTGAAACAATGGCCATTAGCCTCATTTTATTTTAAGCATTCAAAAGGAATAAGATACGTGGATAGCCACAACAAACACATTTCAATTACCTAATTCGTTAACATCATTGTCATGGAGCTACATCCAGAAGCAGTCAAAAGAGCAAGTATTTAGAATGCAGGAAGATGGATGAAAATGCTGAAATACTCAACCTATATACACATAATCACTGTTTCCAAAAACGGCAATCTAAACCCTCATACCTCACAGAAGGATCATCTGCCAACCGACCAGCACCTGAAAGAAGCTAAGAGCACATACACTTCCCTAAAGACAGCAACAGCAGAAAATCCAAGAACAACTCCTTCCATCTCTAGAGCACTGCAAAAATGGATACATCTCCAAAGTTTTCCTTTGCAATATTTGACTAAAAAGTATAGATTTAATTTTAAAATAATTTTTCCCAACTCTAAAACAAAGATAATTTTTCCCAACACAAAGACATAGAACCCAGTGAAATACTTGGTATAGGACCACCTGCTGATGATATGCACACACAGTTTCAATTTGTGTTCCAAAAAACCCAGACTAATCCCAGGCCAACAACAGGTGAAATCTTTTCTAAGGATCATCAGCCACTACTGGGCACAAAATACTTTCATACGTGAATTCTTTATTGTCCTCAGCATTAAAGATCATGTCTATTCCTGCGTTAAGAACTAAGCTCAAATGTTTTCAAGGTGACTTGAAGAAACTATTCATGTATTAAAGAGCATTACACCCAAAGTGTGCTTCAGTGTGCAAGCACAGGTTTTACTCTTTACATCCTAAGCTTCTGTGATGGAGCTACTTTGCTAAGCTTTCAAGTTTACATGTATTTTATTTAATATTAAAGCTCATACATGCTACATATTTTCTTTTACTGTTCATAATCCAGTCAAGTACTTGAGCCTCTTCTGGTGAGCAAGCTGATAGACTTTTTTTTTTTGTTTCAAACAGCAAATCATTACTAAAAAAACCCACCAAATTAACAATCTTTTTTAAATTTAACTTGATACCATCACAGTCCTGAAAATAACGCTACTACAAATGCTACTGCTAACATCTCTACTAGGCAGCAAAGTACTCCACTGTTGCTGCTATAAATTCGTTTGCAACAGACAGTGGTATCAACCTAGTCTTAAGGCAAAGTGAGTAAGTCCTGACAAAACACGCCCGATGCAGACTTCAGGATGAGGCAAGAAAACTCTCTGTTTGCGGCAGAATTTAAAGACAAGCAAATGAGACATAGAGAGAACTCGTCTTTTATTCAAGCAAGGGGAAGTGAAAGTCAACAGCAGAAACAGATAAAAGGGCACAGGTCAGTTTAAATGCTTTCTGCAACAGATACAAAGTTTCAGTATTAAACAACCGGACTGTAAGGACAGCTCTTTAGAGCTTCCAGACAGGACTACCACAGATTAAAGCCTGGGCCCACATACTCAATCAATCTCCAATTAGAAAGACACTGAATACATTCAGGATCTTAAAACATGCTGCATATCCACTAGAAAAAGCAGCCCTCGTTTCACAGGTACGAAAAAAAGCAAGAGATTTGGTGACTTCACTCAGAGCATCACAGGCTTCTCTGAACCACAAAACCAGAGCTGGTGCTGAGCACACGCAGCAGCTGCTCTGACCGCACAAAGACAGCCTCTCGAGCAGTACGACTGGCAAGCTGGGTAACATACGCGTTTCCTCCAGACCCTTACGAGATCCTGCCTTTTGTCTCCTACACAGCTATGAGCAACCGGAGAGGGAAAAGCAGCACGGGACAGGAGTGGCTCACGGGCGGCAGCACAGCGCTTGCGGGAGCTCACCTTGTATGACATGCTCCGGGGAGATGGTTTTCTTCTCCGATTTGTTGCAGATCTCGTTTGCCTCGGAGGAGATGAGGTGGATGAATTCAGTGCAGCAGTTGACCACCAGCTCCCGGGCGTCGTTCGCCACGCGGACGTTGGGCAGCGTCTCTTTGATCATCTTGTTGATGGCAGCCCTGGGGATGGTGAGGTCGTCGTCGTTGCCGGACGACGAGGCCATCCTGGCTGCGGGGGCTCCGGGCTGCGCTCAGCGAGGCTCCAGGGCGCGGGGACCCGGCGGGGGCGACGCCGGGGAGGGGGGGGAGGCGGCGGGGGCCGGGCTGGGGGTCGCTGCAGGGCCGGGGGTGGCGGGACCGGGAGGCGCTGCTCGGGCTCAGGGCTCCCTCGGCCGCGGCGCCTGCCACTGCCGCCTCCGACACATCCTTCGCGCGCCGGCGCCGCCGCCTTATGACCGGGGTGAGGGGAGGCGAGCGGCCGAATGGCCCGCAGGGTGCTCGGCTGGGCTGGGCTGAGCTGGGCTGGGCTGAGCTAAGCTGGGCTGGACCAAGCTGGGCTCACCCGGCCCGGCGGAGCGGCGGCCGCGAGGCGGAAACGCTCCGGCTCCGGCTCAACCTGTGGGGACGGCGCTTCCGCCGGAAGCCGGAACAGCTTCCGCCGCGCGCCGCGGGAGCCGGAAGCGGCGCGAGGCCACGTGCGGGCGGCGGGGCCGGCGGGAGGCCCTGGGTCCGTCCGTCCGTCGGTCCGTCAGCCCGGGGGCTGCCCCGCCCGGGCACCGCCAGCCCTTCGGCCCGGCTGCTGCCGCCAGGAGCTGCTTCGGGCCGCCCTTCCCTCGGTTCCGGTCGTAGCGGGGCGTTTGACACCCCAGGCAGGCGCGTTCGCACAGCAGGGCGCGCGGTTGGCGCTCGGCTCTTCATCCGTCGTTTATTCACGACTCGCTGCCACGAAGGGGTTTGCTCGGCATCCCTCTGTGAAGCTGCGTTTTGTGTTTTCAGCCACCCCATAACCAGTAGTGTGAGGGTTGTGTGAGTTAACCGGACCGTGCCGGTGCTCGTGGAAGGGCCGTTACAACCCATGGCCTTGGTCGCACCGTGCTGCTCTGTGCTGGCTCTGTGCTGCACAGGAAAACTGCCCGGGAATGCAGCCCAGCCCAACCTGCGGGCCAGGGACAGCCACAGCTGAGCGACACTGAGCTGCTCGTGGCACGCCCTGCCCTTCCCTGGCTGCCTGTGCCCAGCGCTGGCCCCTCACTGATGGCGAAGGGCTGCAGAGGGCGAGTGGCCGTGCTCCCTTCAGCGCCAGCACCGCTGCTGTCCTTTGGTTCTTGCCTGCTCCTTTTCAGCCTGGCTGCTGTTCCCACCTCTGTGTCATGCACACGGTGATGCTGGGCTGCAGGCACCAGCCCCGTGTTTTCCAGGAGGTTTGCTTTAGCAGTGGGACGTGGTTGAGGCCTCCAGCTGTGCACAGGGGCTGTCGCGGGTGCTGTTCTCCCCTCATTCCCCTCCCTGCTGTCCTGAGGAGGGCCCTGCACGCCCCCACACCTCGGGCCCCACCAGGAGGGTCATGACTGCAGAGCAAGTCATGTTCCCTGCAGTGCTTGGCATCCACAGGAGCTGCCCATGCCTGGGCTGCTGCTTGGCTTCTTGGAGCTCCTTTGGGGAGGGGCAGGGCAGGGCTGGGCAAGTCCTAGCACGGAGTTATATTTTGGCTTAGTGAGAAAGTATTGAAGGAAAGACAGTTCCTGTATCCCCAGCGAGCTCCAGCTGGGCTCTCTGGGTGAAACAAGGACAGCTGCTGGAATGTGCTGAGAAACACCAGCCTGGAGGCCTGAGGGGCAAGGCTGGAGGCCAGGGAACAGGAATGCCATGCAAGAACAGCACTTAAATCCAGGCCCCCAGCTTGGTCTCAAATGACTTGTCAGACTACGGTGAGAGAAAGACAAGGAAAAGACCTCCTCTTCATGATATAATTTTGGTTTAACACCTGCTTATTAGGATAGCTTAGAACAGGAGAGCCAGTGGCTCTCCTTCAGACACTGAAGGCATTTAATGAGTTGGAATCACTTATTACTGACAATACTTTGGTTTTCAAAATAGTAGTACCAAGACAGTAAGAAGATATTTTAAGTTGCTTTTAAAAACATTTTATTGTTCACTAAGTGTAATACACTAGTAACCATTGCACATAAAGGAAGCATTCAGAATATTATAATAAATAGATATGAATAATAAATATTCCACTTGTGACACTTTAAGATTGATGAGACTTTCTCTTCTGTTGCTGATAAATAGATTCAACTTCTGAAAACAAGAATGCAGCTGTGATTGAAGGATTACTGATTCTATCCTATTCTAATAATTAAAAAGATATAATATTTTTATTAGATTAAGAATCTAAATAGTTTACCTACGGTACACATCTCACTATGTATTATACTCTACTAAGTGAAGAGGTCGGGCTAATATTGAATACACAAGTGTCAGTCAGTGTTCACATTCCCACAAAAACATATCGGTGTGAAAAGCAAACACTAAACAGAATAATACTGTAGTTAGAGGATTTTAGTTGCAAGGTTCTGCAAACTAATGTTGAAGATATACATATTCAGCTGAATATGTTGGCTAAGCTCAAATAAACATCTCGAATGCCTTTTCACAATTACAGAGCAAAGCCCTTTGAATAACAACATACTGAGTCATCGGTAGCTACAAGTAATCCCAATTTGCACTATATAATCTCATATTTATTGTGAGGGTTTCCCCAGGTCAAAGCTCTTTCTACTTCTCCACCGTAGCAATTTGATGAAGTTAAGACTTGCACTGAAGATTTTGTCATGCTGAAAAACCATTTTGTAGAATATATCAATGGGTAGATCTCCATTTGGATCTGCATACTTCAGAGTTGTCATTGGAGTATACAAGGTGTTGGTCTGATGGCGAAAAGGTGGATTTTCTGAAAGAATTATCTTTACTGTATGCTGTAGAGAAGGAGAAATAGAATTTTCAAAGGACCTTTATCAAAACAGTAAAGTAAAACCCAAGTTTTCAGTTAGCAGTGGAAAAGTGAAAGAATAAAGTCCTAGAATTATGTAAAACCCTTTATATAGTTTAATTAGAATTTCATTAGAAAATTTTCTTAAAATATTTTATGGCCATAAGAAGTACTTCTTATTTATTCCCAGTCCTATTTCTGTTTCTCTATACCATGGTGAATAGCACCTTATACCTAAGTATTCTGAATAGTCTTCCAAAATATGCCCACAGTAGTAGATCCTTTCTTTTACAGTTCACTGGGAAAGGATCGGGACAGTGGATTTTGCAGCAAGATCTGGGAACCTTCAGTTGACAGCGAAACTATTCCTTACCAGCAAACACCTGAAATGATTGTCCCCTTCCCCAGCTTGCCTAAACTTGTCTTTCTGCAGGAAGCCCCAAGCGCCAGAAACTATGTCCATGTTTCTTCTATTGTGCCTTGGCGGTCTGGGGTGGCTGAGTGAACTTCCCCACAGTGGAGGGATCACCAGGGAGATGGACAGGGCAGCAGCTTTGCCAATGGTGGGAGCCCTGGGCATGCCTGTGGTAACACTGCAGAGTGTTCAGCCTTCAACAGATGACGTACAGGGCATCTAATACCTCAGTGGTATTTAAATTACAACTCATCTTCAATACTTCAAAATGAACATTCTCTTAATATTCTAAAGGGTTTTATTTAGAACTCTTAATATTCTCTGGAGTTTTTAAAACCCCTTTTTAATCATGTGTATTACATTTAATTAAATCTAATGCTTCTACCAGAAAAACCCACCAACGAACCACCGCATTCGTAAATTACAAAGGAAAAAAAAATCAAGAAAAAGAAGATTGAGAGTTGTTCATGAGTTACCTCTGCAACATCTTCAGCACTTTGTCCCAAGCTCTGGAAAATCTGCTTGTAATTTTTAAGGTAAATATTAGTAAACATCTCAGCTGTTTCTGCATCTGCAGCTGAAAGATCCATTTTCATTCCATCTTCAAACACTTTTCTTTCAAACTCTGTAACCACTGGGCCTGGTTCAATCAAACTTAACCTGTTCAAAAAAAGCAAAGATATACTGTGTTTTGACTATCCCCCATGGAAAATACACCCCTCAATCCTTCCCAAAAAAGAAATATTGAAGAGTTGCACTCTTAGCCAACAATATTAAACAGTACATTCTGTAAAGGTAACCCATGCTGCATTACTGTTCTCATGCTCCTCCTATCCATCCCCATGTAGTAGTAGAAATCTGCATAGTTTAAATTTCAGAGAAGTGCTGTAACTTAATTCATGGCATAACTGAGTGCAGTTGTTACCTGCTGTCTCGCAGCTGTGGAATCTAAGGATGATTTATCCACAAGAACTTAGCAGATATTAAGAAAAATAATTAATGGATTATAACGATTTGTTGCTTTCTGGACAAAATTCCGCCTCAATTTCTTTGTTTCCCTTGATAAAACTAGAAGTAGCTGAAAGAGATGGGGGAATTGTCCAAACACGGATTTTCTTTGTCAAGCTGTCAGAGTTAGATAATTCAAGATTCCTCCACTGTATAATAATAAACTACAATATAGAGACTTTTGCTGTGGTTTTTTGTTCAGTAGCATAGAGCAAATCACTGAAATACAGATACTGGTTGGGTTTTTTCCCCAGTTCTTTTCTCAGGCAGTAATAACTCTCAGCCACTGTGTTTGTAAAAACACTCTTTGGAATAGGACCGCTTTCTAGACTTGAGTTCTTTGGGGATGTTCTAAAGGCCTTTCTTTAGAACTAAATCAAGCTATTGACCTTCACAGCAGAATTCCAGCTACTGCTGGAACTAAAGCTTTTTCTCTTGCATCACTCTTCCCATCGGACCTTTAACTTTTCCTATTATACTTCCTTTTTTAACCTCCTTTTTGCTCTGTCTTATACTCTTGAAATCTAATTATGAATTCTGGTATATCCTGTGTATCATTACAATACACTTATTTTAAATTTCTCCAAACTTTGCAGAGCAGTATGTAGAATCACAGTTTTGTCTCTGAAATCGCACAACAGCTGGTGTCTCCCACAGCACAGGGGCTAAATGCTTGGGCACACACAGATGCAGTGGATATTTACCAGTTGTTGGACTTCACGTGAAGAACAGTAGCACAATTACATGAGTGTGAATATACATGTGACAAATCAAACCCCAAAATCCACAGATGATGCACAGGACAAGTCTCTTAAATACTGTCTAAAACATTAGAAATAGTACAGCACACTGTTCTCACTTT